GCTTCCTGAAGATTTTATTTTAAATAATGATGTATTGATTTAATGATATAAAAGTAATATCCTATTAACATTTTATTACATTTCCTTCATTTCCTTTCCTCATTTCCTTTTGAGGGCTTTCTGTTCCACCTGGTAAAATTGGCTTAATCAATAGGGAAATAAACTGTCTCACATATGAAGAAGCTTTTAGGTAAGGCAGTCTTCAAGGCTGGCTGATTAAATTGGTTAGAAATGTCTCCAGAGATCCGGCTTTTCTCTCTTTCCTCTCCCCCAGCTGCCCTGTCCTTCTGCCCAATGCTCTGTGCCCGCCTCCCCTTCTCCTCTGTTGCCCTTGCTGGGTTATCGTTTGGGGTTGACTCCTCTCATGACTACAACTACAACTGCCACCAACTAGGGCCAAAGGCTGCCTTTTTGTTTGCTCTCAAAGCCATGGAATTGAAGTCCTCCCCTTTGGTACGATTGAGCCAACTGAGACATTTATTCAGTATCTGGCGCGTATTAGACATCTGATAGATATTTGTGGATTGAGTCGTTAAGATTGCAGTGTTAGAAGACACATAGCTGTCTCTAGACAAGCTCCGTAGCTGTGCCAGAAATGGCTGGAGGAGGCTGAATGGAGCCGCACCAGCTCCTAAGAGATGGAAGTTTGTATAAACGATGGCTGGTTTATTAATGTTCATGGGAAATACGTATTTCCCACAAGGAGAAGACAAGTATGCTCCATTTACATTATCTGCAGAGACTGCAAGGCAAAGTGAGATGGATAATCTTGAAGGACTGAGGTGCAGTGACATCTTTGCAATGATCTCCAAGTTCTCTATCCTGTGGTCGCTGTTTCTCCTCTCTGGATACATAGTATCAATGCGTGACTTCTTAGACTTCTCCTCTTATACTACAGGATGAGCACTGAAAGCCGAGAACTTAACCGTGGAAGATTTAGTCAAAATAACTGTATATTGTACTTCAAGGAAATGATAATCGATCTAAAAAGTTTTCTTTTTAACAATATTAAAACACATTTATACGTGTATAAATTATACACGACCATAATTGTTTTCATTTCAGACTTGTAACATGATATACTGAAGAAAACATAATTTGTAATTGAAACCAATTTGTGTGTCTATGTATATAATTTATAAAATGTGTATGTGTTTACATACACTTATAGATTAAATACATATACATATATTTTCACTTAACCAAATCATGGACAATTTTTCATGTCAATAAATAAACAAAAACATTCATCATCATTTTTAGCAGCTGCAGTCTTGGATTATGTTGAATCTGTTTTCTTTATTGTAAAAAAATATATTCTTTTTCAGTAGGAAGATTTTAAAAGATCAAAGAATAAAATTACTTAAGGATCATAAGAATCAATCAAAACTCTTTAATGCTTGGTTTTAAGTGGATCTTTTTTAGATCTATAATAATTTATTAAACTTATTTTGTTATTCTATTTGTTATTTTTCTTTATCACATTTTGTTTTTCTTTAATGGTATTCACTTTTGTCTATAGTTTTTATGCCTCAAATAGTAAGAAAATTTAATAATTTCTTATTGATTCTAAAGAATATGAGTTTTAGTGGAATTTTTGTCTACTCTGTATAAACTCTGTATTTCTGGAGCTCTTACTTCAAGGCTAAACCCCTTTATATTCTAATAAAGACGAATATTAGAAGCAGACACAGAACTTTAAATCAGTCATCATAATGTAAATTCCTTTAAGTTCTGCTTATAAATTTGGATTCATTCCTGAAATCCCATTTCATATAAGAAATATCAAAATTGAACACAAAAAACAACGTACAAATATGTGCACAGTTATAAGGATTTATAAAATATTCCAAATTAAGTACTTGCTGAAAGGTGTACTTACTAAGAAATCCTCCAGGAGATTTTTGTTGCATGAGCTATTCTTCCTAAGGCTTTAAAAAATTATTAAAATGATGCTTACATTGAAGACGGTTTCTTTTTTTTTTACAAAAATAAATTTCTCTTTAACAAGCATCAATATTCCCTTTCTGAAATTATCTAAAATTTTTTCTTGTTTATTCTTCCCACTAGAATTTAAGCTTCTTGAGAACAGGGTTAATTAAATGCCTGGCACATAATGGATCCGTAGTACACATTTCTTGAATAAACAAATGTTTACAGAACCCTAAAGCCACATAAAAATTAGTGTCTGCTGTTGCTAACATTTTTGTTGCTAATCTGATGCTCATGAAGGACTCAAAATCTCCCACCCATGGCAGTTTCCTTCTTTTCCATGATTGCCTGTCCCTTCACTTTTAAGTGAGCTTCATTCCTGAACCATGTGAAATGCCACTCAGACAGTTTAGCTGGGGGTACGTGTTGGAAGTGTACAGAGACGTTCCAGAGTTGTGGGTTCTTAGGAATCATTCTAAGTTGTGGTCTCTTAACCTTACATTGCAAATGTTTTTGTGGAAAAGAATATTTTTCAGTATCAAATTATATTGATAGGATGTTGTCTCACTTCAGGCTTATAAGGTGGCAAAAGAAGTCAGACACCTTGCCAAAAAGTAAGACAGCAAGTGACAGGCCATGTGGGCTTCTGACCACAGTGCACGCTCTGAGCCACTAGCTGTGCCACCTCTGCTATTCGGTCATCCTGTCCTCTCCATTGTGGATGAGAAAGTGAATAGATTGTCTGCAACATGCTGAAACTTGCCTTAGGCAAGAGAGTTCGACAAAATGAAAAATCCAAGTATAGGAAATAGGAAGGAAGCTTCCCTTATCCTAACAAATTCACTGGACCCATTAATTTCCTCAGCTAAAAGACCATGTTCCCTAAATGTAATGGACTTGACATTCATTTAACAAAAATTGTTTGGCTTCTAAGTTGGAGGAAGAGATAGATGATTTATTTCTAAATCTGTACATAAGGTGAAGAATCCAGAAATAAGTTATAGGTAGCATTTTTCTTTCAAATACTTTGTCCATAAAGCAAGAAAAAAATTGGTTTTTATAAATACTTATCAGTAGAGTTTCTTATGCACACTCAAGTTTGAGAAGCACTAAGCAAAACTAAAGGAAAAAGCAAAGGGGACATTTATGTACAGATGTCTGGACATTCGAGCTCTTCTTCCTTTGAACTAACTTTCAGATCGTACTGATGACTGGAGAGTGGAAGGGGCCAAAAGGTCACAGCTAGAAAACTCCATTCAGTCCCACAGTAAACTTGTTCACACAGCTGCTGCTTTCCTTTGCATGTTTTAATCAACCTTGAATTTTCAACCCTGTTCATTGAATTTCTTAGATAAAAATTAAAAAGAATTTAAAACATATATGCCTCTACAACTTTATAATCTGTTAATAAATTTGTCATGATGATTAAATCAAAGAGTCCCATCTTCAGAGAGGTTTAGAAAAGAATAAGAGGTTAGGAGTTAAAGAATAAATGAAAATGTTTCTATGATGTGACTTCAGTGTATAAGATAAAATAAATGTTTTTCCTATAACATGGTTACATTCTTAGGGAAATCAGAGGCAATGCTCAAACCGTTATGGAACAATTATAAGAAAAATATATAAGCAAGTATGTATTAATACGGTAATACAAAAAAATAGGACCTGCTTGTTGAACGCTTACTATCTGATAGTCCCAAGCTTGCGAATTTTGAAAAGGTTCCCAGGTAAAGGCAACATGCAGCAAGTTTTGAAGTCTAATTTACTTTAAATTATGAAGCGTCCAAGAGGCATGATAGATGGGATATTTTTGAAAGATAAACTGGGTGGGTGAGTGTGTGTGTGTGTGTGTGTGTGTGTGTGTGTGTGTGTAGGCATGATTGCCAGGGCAGATATTGGATTCAGGGATCAGCTTAAAGGTTACTGGTTGATAGGTGATTTGGAACTAGACTTAATGTTATTTGTGGAAATGGATGGTAAGCAGTAAATCTGAGAAAGATAAGAAAAAAGAGGAAAACAAAAGGACTCAGTGGTTTAGTTAATAAGAATATTGAAGGAGAAAGAAGAATCCCAGCCCTGTCTGGGCTTGTGAACTTTGTCAGTGTTGAGATAGGTTAGGCTGTGCTTTTATGTAGAATACATTAGAAATCTGCTGTGTTAAGTGTGTGCTGGTGGTGGTAGTTAGAGAGGGTTTGGTTGCTAAACAAGACACAAGACAGCAACAGCATGAAATTAAAGGCTGCCTCCCTGTGAGCGGTCTGCAGAGACCCAGCTCCAGTCACCCTTCCTCTGGAAGGGCCATATCAACACCTTTTCTCTGGGTCAGAGCCAGTTACTGGGCATGGGATACTCTTAACCAGTGGACCTAAAGTGGAGTCTTGGACAGCTTGTTTCTTGTACCCTGCTGGTGGACACAGGCATATTCTTGCCCTGTAGCCAGATTCATGGGGAGAGCCCTTCAGAGGGCCTCAACTAGACCAGGTCAGTCCATGAGTCTGATTTTACTAGTGAAGAATGCTGACGTGCTGTTACAACCCCCCCGCCCCCGCCAACTCCTGGGATCCGTGGACAAAGCAGCACTATTAATAGGTGTGTTTCACGCCTTAACCAGGGAGCCATGCAGGCACATGTCTTATTTCAGCAAATTAGAAATGCTGGAAATAACCCTCACAGCACAAGTGTCAATGACCATTTGAGATATTCACGTGGGTTGTGTCATTTAGAATATTGCAAATATTACAAACCTTTTCTAGGTACGTGTATTTGATAAACCACAGTGTAGCCATATTTGCAGGTACTACCATTTTAGAATCTCTAAAAAGGTCATCTTGAAAATGACTGGCAAACTGTTGTGTTATTTCATTTCCCTCCAAAATTAATACATACATCTAGCTCTAAACTTACTGTTTAACTTTTATAGAGTTTTAAAACCAAATTCCTAGATTTCACAAGCAGAGGCATTGCAAATAGCCTTCTAGTTTATTGAGCGTGAATGACATGTTCTGTATTTCAGAAACTACTCAGACTTTCTAATTGTATTTTTTCTCCCTTCCTTCTCCATCCCCCAGATGAATCATCTCCTAAGGAAGTCAGCAGGGTAAGTAACGTGAATATCATTTTTGGTACCACAATATAGGAAATAAATTATTTTGTATATTTTCAGTGCGCTAACGTGTTTTAAGTGTTAGAAGAATAATTACAAAAAGTGAGTGCCCTCTCCAGCGTATCACTCATCAGTATGGAGTAAAGCCAGTGAGGAGAGAGGTGTGAAATTGGAGGCCTCAAACTGAATACAGCTAACAGATGCGTTCCATTTGGCCTGCCCATGCTTATGGAGTTTTCTGAATTTTTTGCCAACATTTAGATGTTGAGAGAGTGCATATTAGGATTGGATTTCTGGCTTCTCTTGAAAAACCATAAGACAAGGCAGCACTGACACCGAGTTCCCATGTGGCGACGGTCTGCTCAGGCCGCTTCCTCACCGTCCCCTGCTCAGTGGCTTTGCACGTGTGCCACCGGGCTAACCCTGCCTTTAAGTTCATGCACCTTCTTTCTGGGAGAACAAAAGGTGACTACTCGTGAGCTGAAGACGTGATGTTCTTCGGTACTTTTAGAAATACTAAATGCGTCGTCCTCACGTTCAAGAGAAATACTTAGTGTTAAAGTTATGAGACTTAAATTTAAAAGCTTATGGGAAATGAGTATCAAGAGCATTTTAGCATGCCATGTTTAATGCTACAAAATTATAATTCTGTAATTACATATGAAAAAGAATCTTAACTGTATATCCTGTTTACAGATAAAGATCTTAAAATGTGGATTCAATGTTGAAAATAATCAGAATTGTATCTGATGCAACCTTATGTAAGAGATCACTCTTTATCATAAGATATAAACTGAAGTACTGTTATCAGGATCACATATATAGATCTATTCCTTTATTTTTAATTACCTGTAGAAAGGAATCTTTAAAGTGACAAGGACCATTGTTGGAGACTGGGCAGAATTTCTTCTGTCCCTAGCAACCTAACAGACTCTTAAGGGTTCTGTAAGTCTCAGGGTTTTCCTGGGTACATGCACTATTAACTTCACATTTACAGGATTCACACCTGGAAAGTTCCCAAGACTGAGTGCTTCGAGGTATATCAGGGGACAGAGGGATCAGCCTGGAATTTTACAGCTACTGAGAGCAGCAGAAATGGCTGAAAAGCCATGTTTGAGGATAAAAGAATATTCTCACAAGTGGACCTGGGCCGTCATAAGATACTGGGGTGTCGATATTGGCAAAGCTACTATCTCAGATCTCTGAGATAGTACCAGGTGTCTATAAAACCAGGACAGTAGGGAAAAAAACTACAACTTACTCATCAATATTCTTGTTTTAGAATAACTTTAGTTTATAGGGAACCCCTGACCTCAATTTAACCTTTATAGCCTTCAGAAGATTTTAGACATTGTTGTTGTTTTTGAGAGAAGTGGGAAAAGAGATGCCCAGAAAGGTGGTTTCAACCCACCCCGTGTTTTCCTTACACCCTGTTCTGCTCACAGCAAAGACCAGAGCTGCCCTTCTGATACCTTGCTTATTTCAGTATATTAAATCTATCCACCTGTTTGGTGGAACTCGCCCTTCGCCTCCAGGGTCCCCCAGTTTAAAGATTTTGTACCATACTGTCTGTCATAACTGATTTTGTTACTGCAGCTCACTCTTTCAATTATAAGCCAGGTTCTATTTGGGGAGAACAGCTATATAGACAAGGAGTAGACTTTTTAATTGAATGCATTTCTATATATTTTAGTCATGCAAAATATCGCCACAAGACATCTTGGATTCAGATTGCCACCTACTTCTTACTATGCCAGTGCCTTCTTCCGGGTGAAGAGAGAAGAGATGCAGACAATACCACACACTATCTTTAAGCCCATTAGAAATGATGATAAACTATACATAATCATTTTTTCTTTGCTATTATTTTATAAAATTCTTTTACTTTATACCAAATTTGGAGAAAATGCAATTCCAGGTGAGAAATGATAATTATATGAACAGATAACCTAGAATAGTATCAGTTGCCAGGATCTTTAAAAGTTGGTTTTTTTTTTTTTTTTTTTTTTTTTCTGAATATACCCCAGATCTTGGTCAGTTCTGATACATAGAATTTGCATTATAAAATAGTATACCAATGTTTTAAGTTAAAATTAAGCTTTAGAAATCCCAAAAGTGCAAACTTTTGGTAACTGGTGACTGGCCACAGGGCACATCCATTGTCAAAAGCATGGTCTTGAGTGACGCAGATTCTTACCCCTCCAGGCAGTTCCAGTTATTGTGACATACTTTCTCACTTAGCGCCAAACAACCTCTCTTTAATTGCCATCTACTAGTATTGTTTTGACTTTTGTAGCAGCTCAAAAAAGGCTATACCCCCTACTCCATACAGAGCTCTTTAATTAGAGGGATTGTGTTCTGTCTTTCCCAGTGAGACACACTCACTTAAAATAATTTTTTTTCCCATGGGCCTCCTTAGGGTCTGGGTTGACATTCTCTGGACAAAGTATGCATTATTAATATATTTTTTAGAAGGTTGAGGCAATGCCATGACATTATAGACCAATTGTGGCTTGACCCTGGTAAGACGAGGTAGGCCAGGTAGCCCTCGGACACTATGTATCTGTAATAGGGTTTAGGGAGAATTAGCTTTTCCAAGAAACTATAGGACATTTCTGGTTATTGATCCAGAAGTGGAAGATGTTTTTTCCATGAAGTCAAGTCAGATCTATAAGTCTGAAGCCCTTTCTCCGTCCCCTCTTTCTTCCTCTCTTTCTCCTTCCATCCCTCCCTCTCTCCGTGTCTTCCTCCTTACCTGCCGTTCCATAGACAAATATTTCTTGGGCATTTATATGCCAGGCACTGTTCTAGGTTTTAGGGATACAGTGCAAAACAGTATTCCAGTTATCATAGTATGGAAGGTGGTGGTGGAGACAGTTGCAAGTTTTTTTTTTAATTTTTATATATCAGGCAGTGATAAATATTATGATAAGTACATAGAAGAATAAAGCAGAATGAGCTGATAGAGAGTGATGGTGGATTAGGAGTGGTCTTAACTGTAGAGACAAAGCCAGGACAGAGGATGTGGTGCTAGGGGTGTGAGTGTGCAGCCAGGGATGGCTTACCAGGGTAATTGAGGAAATATTATGGGAGGTGAAGGAGGGAACCATGCTGAGAACTACGGGAAGAGCACTCCAGGCAGATGGCACAGCAAGTGCAAGGGCCCAGAGGCAGGAAGGTTCACGTTACAGAAGGAGGTCATCTGGGCCAGAACTGAATGAGTGCAGGAAAGAGCCCTGGTCAGAGAGGTTGAGGCAGGAGGGCATCTAGAGGGATGTGGTAGCTGTCATATCTGTGTCATTTGTTTTCATCTAGTCAGCGAAGTTAATCTTTTATTTGACTATTATTGTTGTTGTTGTTGTTAAGTGGTTCCAGCTTCTGACAGGAAAAGAGAGAGAAAACAAGATAAGAAGAGTGTTTGGGTCCTGAGTGCTAGAATATGAGAAGTTTAGCCAGGTCTAGAATTCGTGGGGACTGTCTTTGTCGCTCAAAATGCTGTAGATATGTTTCCTTATATTCTAATTTTTATATAGCAGTTTTAGTCTTATGAAATATGTCCTGAGGAAAAACACTGATTCAAGGCTACTTGGTCAAAGGACACAAATATTTTATGACAATTAATATACATTGTTAAGTTGGTTTATCAAATTATTGTTCCAATTTAAGGTTTCATTGTAACCCAATTTGATTAGCAATTATATCTCTTCTTGTGTAAATGGCATGCCATTATTTTAATATTTTTTTTAAAGCAAATAAACCTATTGCCATATGTTAACTATGTTTCTTTTTGTGTGAATTGCATCTCTATGTCTTTTGCGTGTGATACATTCAAAAGAACTTCTCTGGTATAGTGTAAATCACACTTAGATTTGAATTTCTACTTTGCCACTCTTCATCTGGGTGACCTTTTAAAAAAATAACTTTTAAAAGGCTCAAATGTAAAATGGGGACAAAATCTACCAAACCTAAGGTGTGCAATAGGATGAAAATTTATATTCTTATATTCATTTCTAGAACACCAAAAATAAACTTTTTAAAAGCAGAGGGAATTAATGAAAAGAAATTAATGGCCCACAATTTAAAATACAGGCTTGATTAATAATGAAAAAGATATTTTCTTAAATAGATCAATAAAATAGACTGTGTTTGGCAATCTATTCAAGAAATAAGAAAATAACAAATATTAAGGAATGCGAAAGGAAAGATAACTATAGTACAGGCAACAGGGCGATTATTACTAATTTAATAAGGAATAGTAGATACTAATGCATTTGAAAAATTAGATGTAATGGGAAATTTTAAGGAAATTATAAATTATTAAAATTGATTGAAAAAGAGTTAAGAAACCTAAATATATTGTTAACCAACGAAAAAAAACTGAAAAGTTATTAAAAGACCCCCCTAAAATGGCACCATACCCAAAAGGTTTTACTGGATAATTCCACCAAACATAAAAAAGGAGAAAATTCCTACATAATATAAAGTATGTATTTCCAAAGTTAAGAAAATAACTTATCTCACTCAAGACCGAATTTTATTCCTAAAACAAAAATTAGAGCATTATACAAAATAGAAAAAGTATTGACCAGTTTTACTAGCGCAAACGTAAGTGCAGAAATCTTAATAAATTCGGCAGGACTTTCATTGCCAAGGGTGGTGGCAGGTAGAGGCTAGTGCGGTCATCGTGGTGAGAGATGAAGATGGCTTGTCCCCGGCTGATGAGGATGGAGGTGGGGAGAAGTGTTTGGATTTGGTAGACTGAATTCTACGTATATTTGGAAAGTAGAGTGAACAAGAACTGCCGATTAATCAGACGTCTGGTATAAAAAGAGACAAAAAAGAGCAATGATCGCATCGAGGTTTTGCCTGAGCAGATGGAAGGGTGAGTTGCTATTACTTCGATGGGAGTGTTTGCCAGAGGGGCAGGTCAAGGTGTGTGTGGAGGAGGGGTAAACAGAGGCCACTACTGGGTGCTTAGTCTTAGATGTGCTAAG